CCCTTGTGGCTCGTGACCTCCTTGGCAGGCCGTGGGCGGAGGAGCTAGCTGTCTGCAGCTTCCCTGCTGTGAGCGCTCAGGGAGGGGAAGCCTGGGGGCCAGCTCCTGTGCCCTGCTCTGCGCCACTGGCAGGGCCTCACTTCCAGGCCGCTGCTTCCCTCCATTGTTGCCCACAGCAGGGGCAGGCTGGGTCAGCCCCGGATGTGGCACTGTGTCGTGGGCGGCGGGAAGGGGAAGGGCAGCGGGGAGAGGATGTATGCAGGCAGCTGGAAGTGGAGGCAGCCAGCAGTCTGGCTGTGCCCACACCGGGGGGAGCTATCCCCAGCTGACCCTGTGACCAGGCACCCCTTTGGGCAAGGGGCACCGAGGCCCTGGAAGCACCGGCTGGGGGCTGCAATCTTCCCTGTGCTTCACTGCGCGGGCTGGCTTCATTGTCCGGCTTCCTCTGGAGAAGCAAAGCCCTGCCCTGCCCTAGCACGCTCCTATCCGGATGGAACGTTGCCTGCAGGACGCACCTCCCTGCACAACACGGGCGCGTGCCATCATCTCCACGTCATGCCCATCGCGTGCACCCCTCAGTCAGGCACACACAGCTGTGGGCACTCGCAAGGGTTTGCCCTTTCCTAGGACAAAGCCCAGGCACAGGTCGTGTGCACAGCTCAGAGCTGGCTGGCGCCCCTCTCTCCTGCAGGCGTGCTGAGCTTGGAGGAGTTCAAACAGCTTAACATCCGTGACTTCCACAAGTACATGGGGAGCCGGACTGTGAAGATGAGCGAGCTGGTGCGGAACAGCCAGCACACATGGCTGTACCAAGGCGAGGGTGCCCACCACGTCATGAGGGCCATACGACAAAGGTTCGGGGTCCAGCAGCCCAGGTCCAGGGGCAGGGGTGGAGGCGGCGTCCACACACACTCACAGCAGAGCTGTCTGCCCACACACAGCCCTGCTGGGATGGCCACAGCCTGCCTTGTTAGTGTTCACCCCGCTGGAAGGAGAGGAGCCCAGTTTCCCATTAGGACTCTAATTCATCCGGCAACGCGGCTCACGCTGTGCAGAGTCAAGCCTGCAGCACATCCTGCTTCCGGGGCAGCCCTGCAAAGACTCCATGGAGCCTGGAGGGGGTGGGGGGGTAATTAATTAGAAGTGACAGGAAGACTGATTGGGGGAGAGCAGCAACTTTCCCCTTATGGGGCTGCCACCAATTACGGGGCTGATTGCATGTCTCACCTGAGTCCCAATTAGGCAGAACCAAGGCATTAAGAAGGGGGATTCCTCCCCAGTCACTGATGCCAGAGCTACATCTGACACCCCACCAGGGGAGGGCTGAGCCTGCTGTCTTCATCCAGGTTGCGAACCAGGGTTGTACAAGCACTGTCAATGTGCATGGTCCCAGGGCCTGTGCTCCTTGTCTCCTGGAGCCCCTGTCACAGGCCTCCCTCTCCACCTGCCCTCAGGGACACAGTCTCCCAGGCAGGGCCATCCCCATACAGGCTTGGGACTGCCGTACATGTCATGGGTAGTCCTGGGGACCTGGACTCGGGGGTAGGCTCCTGGGCTGCAGAGCTGGCAGCCTCTCCCTCAGTGCTGCTCCTGCCTCACCTGCTCTGCCTCTTGCCCCCAGGGTGATGCGCCTGACACGCCTGCCCCCAGAGATCGTGGAGCACAGCGAACCGCTGCAGGTGGTGCGGTACGACCAGGGAGGGCACTACCATGCCCACATGGACAGCGGGCCCGTGTTCCCCGAGACCGCCTGCAGCCACACCAAGCTGGTGGCCAACGAGAGTGCTCCCTTCGAGACCTCATGCCGGTGAGCGGGGCTGGAGGGGAGGGGGCTCGGGCCAGGAGCAGGGTCTGTGTAGTTGTCAGATGCTGGGGGCCTTGTATGTGTGGCTGGTCTGACTGTGACCTCGGGAGCCAGCTCAGGAGGGTGCAGGAGAGGGGGAAGCCCAGGGAGAAGCAGGGGGCTGACCCTGGCAGAGGCAAGCACTGGGCACCTCCTTGCCAGAGTGTTTCTGCCCACCTCTGCTCCCCAGACAGCAACCCGGCCCAGCCCACGGGTGGTGCCGGGAGCCTGGTGTCCGAGCTGCAGGCTGCGCCCCTCAGCCATGCTTTCTCGCAGCTATGTGACGGTGCTGTTCTACCTGAACAACGTGACCGGGGGCGGTGAGACAGTCTTCCCCATTGCTGACAACAGAACCTACGAGGAGATGGTAATGCAGCCACCTCTGGCCCCCATGCTGTGAACGGGAGCCCCTCGTGCCCAGGGCAAGGCAGGGTCTGGATCTTGGGTTCCTTACGCCCGCCCTTGCAACACGGTCACACCCTGGGCCCTTACATTTCATAGTCCAATAGTGCCCACATCCGGGAAGGCGCAGAGCATGGTTCTCAGGGGTTGAGGTGCTGCCCTGCTGGCCACAGATGGTGGGGAGGCATGGAGCATCTAGGGGCAGCAGCTGAAATCGGAGGTGCAGGGAAGCCCCACGAGCGAGACGGGGCTGTTCTTGGGGCGTGCCAGGGCTGCTCTCTTGCGGGCTGGGCCAGGGGCGCAGGGGTGTCGCGTGCTCAGCACTCCGGCACACTGCCGTTGTGTGCGTCTCAGTCTCTGATCCAGAACGACGTTGACCTGCGAGACACCCGGAAGAACTGCGACAAGGGCAACCTGCGCGTGAAGCCTCGGCAGGGCACGGCTGTCTTCTGGTACAACTACCTGTCGGACGGGGAAGGTACTGCCTGCCACGGGGCGCGGGGATCGGGCTCTGCTGCCTCCCGGCCACTGGTGCGGGCATCGCACGCCCGAGGGAGACGGGGCCCTCCAGCCTCGAGCTGGAATCGCTTCCTGCCGTCCCCACCGTGGGCTGTGGGACCCCTGCCCCTGTCCCTGGGGGCTGCAGGGCCGGTGCACGGGAACAGACCCGCAGTGGCTTGCGAGAGGCTGGGCCCTGTCCTTGTCAGGTGCAGGCAGCGAGGCTCCGGCTGTCCTGCCCCGCTCTGCGCGGCAGGTGGCACCTGGCTTCCCCAGACACCCCTGCACGCTGCGACCCGGCGCGGCCAGCCCGGGGGGCAGCGGGGAAGCCCGAGGGAGGGAGGAGCTGCCCGGCCTTGCGGTGCTGGGCTGTGCCGCCTGCCCCGGCACAGCGCGCTGCTGTTGCCCCGCAGGCTGGGTGGGCGAGCTGGACGAGTACGCGTTGCACGGAGGCTGCCTGGTCACGCAGGGCACCAAGTGGGTGGCCAACAACTGGATCAACGTGGACCCCAACCGGCGGCGCCAGCTGCAGTTCCAGCAGGAGGTGGCTCGCTACACGGGCGAGGACGTGGACGCGGGAGCAGGCGAGGGTGCAGCAGGCCAGAGCGAGCGGGTGGTGGACACGCCGGACAGCGACAAGCACGCCGAACTCTAGGGACTCCTTGGCCTGCCGGGTCCCGGTCCCGGCTGGGTCGGCGCTTTC